TGCGGCATCTTTTGCGATAGAAGGGAGTTTTCCTTCGTCTGAAAGGCCGTGTATACAAGGCCACAGTGAGGGCCGTTCTGCTCTATGGTAGTGAAACTTGGCCCCTTCGGTCTGAAGTTCTGAGGCGCCTCCAGGTCTTTGATCATCGTTGTTTGCGAAGCATTGCTGGTGTCGGATGGCACCAGGGTGTCCGCAACGATTATATGCGTAGACGAGTACTAAATGGTGATAATCATGTTAGCTCACTAGAACAGCAGGTAGCACTGAATAAGTTGCGTTGGCTAGGGCACGTGCTACGCATGCCTGGTCACCGCTTACCTAGAAGGGCCTTGCTTAGTCTGCCAGGTGTAGAGTGGCGCAAGGCTGGCGGTGAACAGAAGTTGACTTGGCAGGGGTAAATGAAGTCACTGACGACCAAACTGGGTGCCGTTGGTCCGTTTCGCCTTCCGGGCTGGAGTCCACGTGACTCGCCTTGTACTTGGCTCGAGACTTTACAGGATATGGCTCGCAGTAGACACCAGTGGCGCGTCTGCTGCCGTCTTCTAATCGGATTGCCTGTTTAAAGTATGTTTGGTGCTAAGTTATCTGCGGGGTAATGGCTGATTATGACGCAGGGCAGTGAAAGCCGAAAGGAAGCTGTCTCGCCGATGCCGCCTTATCTTTGCACGATAGCCAGCTGTTTGTGACGGTATGTTGTCTACACAAGGTGCAGGCGCCTTGACCCCGAATGTTTGCTCAAGGGATTAAAGTTTCCCGGTAAGTCCCCCTTCTCTCCCTCTTATTAATCTTTATTTCATAGGTCCTCATGGTTGTATGGTAGCGAAGCATCAGTTGAAGTGGCTGTTGTGCTGCTATGGTTGATAATGAGACGATTCCCTTCTCCACAGTTTTCAGCCGCCGCCAAATCTTTTCCGTTTTAATTTTTTGTTGTTTTGTTGTTGTAGATTCCGTATTGTCTTCCACTGCTTGAGAACTTTCGAACCATAGCTGCGATCTTAGTTCGCTTATCCTGCTGATACGGCTTCTCTTCCGAGTGCAGAGCTTGTTCACCACCGCCTTTTCAGCCGCATTCGATTGCTTCCTTTTCTTTTCCGACCCTCAGCTGATCTTCTCTTCCGACGCTCTTCAACTCTAGGTATCTGTTTAAATCATATTTCATCTTCAGGCGCTAGAGTATGAGGCTGGTTTAGTTCGTGTTTATGACGCGCCTTTCGCCGCCGTGAACGCTTTCCAAGCGCTTCTTGCAGGCGACTAGTCGAAATTTTTTCGGGTTTCATATGTACGGTGGCGCCATAACCAGTTTGCGGTTTAGCTGGTTGCCCTTGAATCGACGGTTTTGTATTAACACATCCCTCCTTTTCATGATCTCATTTGCTTTTTTACCGAAATTTTTTACGCTTCTTGCTGATTTACACTATCAAGTGCGCTAGCCTTGGTCCAACGACAGCAACAAGGGAAATGGTTTAATTGACCTTCACAACAATCACCAGCTCTCATGAGCATTCCTGAAAGATCCAGTTCATGGTCATCGTTACAGAAATTCCAGGCGTCTAGTATCCGTATTGCATCATGACCGATAGAGTACCTGAACAAGGCTAACTCGATCAGTGTTGCGAAGATCATCCACTTCCATTTCCACAGGCGCCAGTTTCCGGGCAGCGAACCCTCCGTCATCTGTAAGGGAGTCGGCATCGCTACAAACGGCTGCCAGCCAAAACAAGGTGTTGATTGCTCCTCGCTTTCTTCTATTCCTCTGACACCATGTCGCGCGCTTCGGTCTCCCAGCCACGTCAAGTGAAGGAAACACATTGGCTCAGTACACAAGCGTTGTATTCTCAATTTTAGTTTGTGTGCACTTAGCTGTGCTTTTAGAAATTCATACGATCGATCGCCTGATCGAACACACGAAGGCAGACGATTCCCTTCGCCTCAGGTTTCAGCCACTATCACATTATTATATTGTTTTTTCTTATATCTTATCTTTCTGTATTGCAACGGGACTGGACCTTAACGTGGCGCGACGGTTTGCGTACCTCCTTGACCCATTGAGCTATACTGGGTGGTGCCTGCGGGCCCCTTGAGAGATACTCCTACCAGTTCGGTCAATGGTGAGAGGTCAGACAAACTCAGTCTCCCGGTCCTCCAGGTTGGGGGTTTGAAATGGGATGGCGTCCATTTCCGTAAAACTAAATCACTGCCACTCCGCTGCCTTGCAGACAGGCTTTTGAACCAAAGGCTTTGGATAAGGACCCTAATCGTTCTCCTGTCTAGGTCTGGGCGCCCTGGCAGTATCCCAGCCCACCTACAACCATGACATTTTCTTCAAACATAAAGTTCATAATGCATCGGCCGTCGCGCAGATTATCAAGGGTCGCCTTAACTGCTACATACAGCAGGGCGGACAAGCGAAAACATGCTACTGCTGACGCCTCCCTTCTTTCTTTTCCACCTGTTTCTCTTATTCCCATTCCGACCCCATCACTAACTTTCCTTCTATAATTCCCGGCTTAATTGGCAACAACCGTGCCACTGGAGTAGAACCATCTGCAGCCATCATCTCACCGCACCTATCGGACGCCTATCGGCAACAGTCCCTTATAAAGCCACGCTGTCCCGTTCCCATGGCAACGTTCAACGTTCGCACTGTAGGACAAATAGGCCAACAGGCTGCACTCACACGCACCTTGGACACACTGGGTGTTGATGTGTGTTGTGTGTCCGAAACTAGCATCAGCAACCCTAATGGGGTTGTTGAATTAGTAATCATCATCATCATCATCATCAACAGCAGTACATCAGCCATTTGAACTGATGCTTCGCTGCTATACAACCATGAGGACCTATGAAATAAAGAATAAGAAGAGGGAGAGAAGAGTGACTTACCTGAAAACCCTAATGGCCAAAGCATACATTCCGGGTCAAGGTGCCTACACCTTGTGTAGACAACATACCGTCACAAACAGCTGGCTATCGTGCAAAGATAAGGCGGCATCGGCGAGACAGCTTCCTTTCGGCTTTCACTGCCCTGCGTCATAATCAGCCATTATCCAGCAGATAACTCAACACCAAACACACTTTAAACATGCAATCCGATTAGAAGACGGCAGCAGACGCGCCACTGGTGTCGGTTGCGAGCCATGTCCTGTAAAATCTCGAGCCATGCACAAGGTGAGTCACGTGGACTCCAGCCAGGAAGGCGAGACGGACCAACGGCACCCAGTTTGGTCGTCAGTGACTTCATTTCTCGCTGTCAAGTTAACTTCTGTCCACCTCGAGCCTTGCACCATCCTACACCTGGTAGACTGAACAAGGCCCTTCTAGGTAAGCGGTGACCAGGCATGCGTAGCACGTGCCCTAGCCAACGCAACTTATTCAGTGCTATCTGTTGTTTTAGGGAGCTAGCATGATTATCACTACCTAGTATTCGCCTACGCATATCATCGTTGCGGATACGCTGGTGCCATTCGACACCAGCAATGCTTCGCAAACAACGATGGTCAAAGACTTGAAGGCGCCTCAGATCTTCAGACCGAAGGGGCCAAGTTTCACTACCATAGAGCAGAACGGCCCTCACTGTGGCCTTGTATACACGGCCTTTCAGACGGAGGGAAACTCCATTCTGTCGCCAAAGATGCCGCAGGTTCAAGAAGGCAGTTCTGGCCTTTGCAGTGAGTTAGCTCACGTCCGTTTCTATGCGCCCATCATTGCTGATGCAGCTGCCAAGATAAGTGAATTGATCAACCACCTCGAGTTCCTCGTTAGCAAGCGTCAAGGGGTCATCAAGTGGCTGGTGGTCCTGCAGCAGCACTTTGCACTTCGGAGGTGCGAAATGCATACCAAATAATGGGACCGCTCTAGACAGGCTATTCGGTGTTGGTTGTGCCGTCACGAAATCGTCGAAAAGCAAGACGATATCGTCCGTATAATCTAGATCAACTAACCTTTCACCAGGCAGCACCTGCGTCGATGGATTCTACAAGGTAAAACTCCATGATAGAATCCACGACGAAATTGAACAAAAATGGGGAAATCAGACAACCCTGCCGAACGCCACTTGTAGTCGAAAAGCTATCCGATAGGACACCGTAAACCCTGACGCGGCCTGTAGTGTTCGAGTATAGAGCACGAAGGATGTCCACATATATCGGGAGAACACTTTTCCGCGCAAGTATTTCGAACAGAGGCGATCGATCGACTGAATCGTACGCACTCTTAAAATCGAGGAACACAGCTATATGGTCTATACAGCCACATCCTTGGCAAAAACCGGCCTCCTCTTCCCTAATCCGAGATTCCCGTTCTGCAGTGAGGCGACGAACGATAATCGAGGCCAGTAATTTTGTCACAACTGGCGTGAGGCTTATACCTCTGTGGTTAGAATATTCTGTGCGACTGCCCTTCTTGTATATTGCCACTATAATCGATTCGCTCCAATTAGTCGGGACACTCTCTTCGTTCCAGATACGTTCGAATAGGGAGGTCGGTGCCCTGAAGAGGACCTCACATCCATCCTTGAATAGTGCATGTGGGAGGGAATCCGGGCCAGCGGCACGAAAACGATTAAGGGCTGTGATCGCGTTTCGGACCTCGGCCTCCAACGGAGGCTCTAACCTAACCGTCCATGGCTCGTCCTGCATCACCTGAGTAGGAAGAGGTCCGGGAGCAGGGGACCAGCTGAACTGATCTTTGAAGTGTTCCGCCCAACGAGCCATACGGCGCTCCTTATTGTGTATCAGCGCACCCGCACTGTCTCTGATTGTCTCACTGATGCCTGGTTTTCTGGGACCAGTGGTACGGATTAGCTGGAAGAGCTTGCGGTAATTGGCTACTGCTCCTGCCTCCACCATTTCTTGAACCCTACTGGTCCACCAGGCTTCCTTGTCAGCACGTAGGATCCGCGTTAGTTCACGCCTAATAGCCCGTCTGGTCACATTGTCTTCATAACCAGCCGGGAGGTGTCTTCTAACTTCCAACAGGTTCACGGACCTCTCGGATATCCAGTGACTAGTACGGTGACGATGGATAGTGCCACAAACAGATGCTCCTGTGTCGTGCATAGCGGCGGAGATTCTATTCCACTGAAGTTCAGTGTCACTAGGACAAGACAGCGAGAGTTCACTATGCAGTGCTTCTTGGTAGACTTGCCTGACAGAGGGCTGGGACAATTTCTCCGTTGCCAATCGGGGGAGACGCTTTGTGCGCTTTCCGGTAAAGTTCATGGAGAAATGACAGCGCACCAAGGCATGATCAGAGTCGACACAGGTACTTCCGTACGAGCGGCAATCCAGAATGGAACCGCGCCACCTGTAACTTATGGCTATGTGGTCAATTTGGGTCCATCGCTGATCAGCTACAGGTGGACGCCAAGTGGCACTTCGGCGCGCACTGTGTCTAAAAGCAGTGCTAGTAAGAAACAACTGGTGCTCCGCACACAGTTGCAGCAGACGCTCACCGTTGTCAGTCCGTTCGGAGTTAAGTCCATACTTACCACCCAGCTGAGCTTCTGAAGAGCTCAGACGCCCTACTTGTGCGTTCATATCTCCTGCAAGTACTATAATATCTGAACTAGTAGAACTGCGTAGTAGGGCGTTCAGTTCGTGATAGAAAGTGTCCTTGACTGCATTAGAACTGCAGTCGGTGGGAGCATAAGCAGAAATCACAAACAAACAGCGTTTTGTTTTACTTCGCGAATTCACCTTAGCTGATGTCGTCAAACGGGCTGCACATAAACGGCTGTCCACCGGAATCCAATCAACCAACGCTGGCTCAGCCTTGCAGCTGAGAATGATGCTTAAACCAGCTGGACCCGTGAGTGCCGCATCGGCGTCTCCAGATGCGTGCAACCAATAACGAGAGGATAATCCGGGTGCAGTCAATTCAATAACCCCGTTAGGGTCATTAATCCTAGTTTCGGACACACAGCACACATCAACCCCCAGTGTACCCAATTTGCGTGCGAGTGCAGCCTGCTGACCTGTATGTCTTAGAGTACGGACGTTGAATATCGCCATGGCAACGGGACAGCGTGGCTTTTTAAGGGACTTTTGCCGATAGGCGTCCGATAGGTGCGGTAGGATGATGGCTGCAGACGGTACTACTCCAGTAGCACTTCGGTTGTTATCAATTAAGCTGGGAATTATAGAAGGAAGGTTAGTAATGGGGGCCGGGATAGGGGTAAGAGAAGAAGGTGGAAAAGAAAGAAGGGAGGCGCCAGCAGTAGCATGTTTTCGCTTGTCCGCCCTACTGTATGCAGCAGATAAGGCGACCCTTGATGATCTGCGCGACGGCCGATGCAGGATGAAGTTTATGTTTGAAGAAAATGTCATGGTTGTATGTGGGCTGAGATACTGCCAGGGCGCCCAGACCTAGACCGGAGGCTTTTGGCTCCAAAGCCTGTCTGCAAGGCAGCGGGGTGGCAGTGATTTAGTTTTACAGAAATGGACGCCATCCCATTTCAAACCCCCAACCTGGAGGACCGGGAGACTGAGTTTGTCTGACCTCTCACCATTGACCGAACTGGTAGGAGTATCTCTCAAGATGCTCGGAGGCACCACCCAGTATAGCTCAATGGGTCAAGGAGGTACGCAAACCGTCGCGCCACGTTAAGGTCCAGTAATAGTAGTAATAATCTCAGCAGTCTAGGAGGTAGACGCAGAGCCAACAGAAAACCGTGTAGATCAACGGAGAAGTGATAGTCTTTGCATCCTTATCATCCTGGCATAGTAGTTGAAGGTGAGCTGATATGCCGGAGGAGGAAAGGAGCATTTTGACAAAAGTAGAACAAAACATTTTTAGTTTGTTTTTCCCACGCCAATTTTTCTCTTTTTTGTCATTTTCAATGTTTGAAGTATTGAACACGTTAGTCAGTACAATACTGTACACAATTCTTCCACTGATTCCGGTTGCGGGCCATGTCTTCAAGAATGTTAAGCCATTGGCACTCATCTTTGGGTCCGCATCCTGGAATACTTATGGATCCAACAGCGGCTAGACACACATGGTCGCCTCCAGCCAGGTCCTTGACGAGCGAATAGAGCGCAACGCGGTATGCGCTCAGGTGCCCTGCGTAGGATGTGATCGAGCCATCTCAAATGGCGCAACAAAACCAATTTGTTGAACGGAATACTCGCATTCCCCAAGCTACGACGTCGAACGTCATTACTATTAACTCAATGTTGCCAGCAAACACGAACAACCCTCTTAAAGCAACTGTTCTCGAAGGCAGAGAGACGACGCATATCTTCCACGCGAATCGGCCAGGACTCGCCCCCATACAACAATACTGTGCTAGCTGATGCGCTGTAAACGCTGCGATTCAGCGAGAATGAGACGTCGCGACGATGCCACAAGTGCCTCAGATTGACAAATGCTGATCGAACTTTATCGATGCGAAGAGAAACATCTTTGTTGATAATGCCGTCAGCAGAAACACAGCTCTCAAGGTAGACAAAACTATTTACCTGTTCAAGTTGTGCACCTTCAAGAGTGAGCACGGGAGCAGGTGAAAGCCAATCCTTGAGCAGTACTTTACACTTCGATGGGGAGAAGCTCATGCCATACTTAGATGCTTCAACCGCCAAACGACCCAGAATGAGTTGCATACCCTGAGAATCGTCACCAAGTAAGGCGATATCATCAGTACAATCTAAGTCGGTCGCGTGATCACCCGGTAGAAGCTCTAGGCCAACATGTTGGAAACCTTCTAGAGCATTCAACAGAACGTCTTCGATTGCGAAGTTGAAGAGGAATGGGGACATAGGGCAACCCTGTCGCACACTGCTATTGACAGCGAATTGCAAGGAAAGCTTGCCATAGACCCTCACTCTGACGCATGTATGAAGGTAAGGTGCTCGAAAGATGGCGGTATATTTCTCTGGCATCTCGTTCTTTAGTAAGCAACGCCATAAAGCAGGTCGATCAACGGAGTCAAAAGCGGCACGTACGTCTAGGAATGCAACAGTAGTGGGCCTGTGATAAAAGTGGCGATGTTCGAGGAGCTGGCGGAGCATGAAGATTTGATCCACGCATCCGCGGCCGGGACGGAAACCAGCGTGTTCTTCACGGTAGGATGATTCACCTACTGGGGATAGTCTGCGATCAAAATGGATGCCAATGCCTTGGAGGCAACCGAAATAAGACTAATCCCGCGATGATTTGCACACGAAGTGCGAGCGCCTTTCTTGAAAATCGGGACAATAACTGCTTCGCCCCAAGAGGAAGGCACTTTCTCTTCATGTCAAATTTTTACGAACAGCGCGGTCAGCTGGTTATTGATCGCCACGCTGCCGTACTTGAACAGCTCCGGAGGAAGTTCGTCTGAGCCGGCAGCTTTGAACCGCTTCAAGCGTCGAATCTCGAGGCAGACTTCCGCTTCGCTGGGTGGATTCAGTGGGACGAGCCAGGGTGGACAACAATGTGTATTGAATGTACTGTTGGCTGGTGGTGGTCAGTTGAACTGCGATTGAAAGTGCTCGGCCCAGCGGTCCATACGCCTCTGTTGGTTGGTGATCGGATCGGTGGATCACCTCACAAATGACCTCCCTGACACCAGGATTCCTGAGGCCAGTGGACCGAATGAGTTGGAATAGCCTGCGAGTGTTGCCAGAGAGGGCAGCGGTCTCCATCTCTAAAACTCGCTCGGGCCACCATCTCTCACGATCCTTGCGTAGAGTTTGCTTGAGCATCTGGTTGGCAGAACGGCGCCTCTCGTTGCAATCTGATTCCGCTGGGATATCTTTGCGGCGTTCGAACAGCTCCAGAGAACGAGCAAGGATCCAAGCCTTTAGGGAGCGTCGAGTTAGACCGCAACTTGACTGTCCGGAAATGGTCATCGCTTTCCCTATACAAGTCCGGGGTTGCTCCACGTCTTGCGGTGGATTGCAACTGAGTGCATATGCCATTGAAGACTGATAGCTCGCCTGGACAGTGGAATCAGTTAATATGTTTACATCAATCTTGCGGTGCTTCGTGTTTCGGACCCCCCAAAACGCATACAGATTTTCGCGCAGAGCAGTGCATGATCTGGGTCAACGAAGGTGGACTAAAAGGACCTTCAATCCAGTACGCTACCGCGCCATCTGAAACTAATTGCAATGTGATCAATTTGAGACCACGGTTGTGTTGGCGAAGAGGTACGTAACGTTGTAGAACGCTTCTTCGTACACCTGAAGTTAGTGCTCGAGAGAAACAGTTGGTTGTCTTCGCACAATGTGAGAAGCCTCTCTCCGTTATCAGAGCGGTTCTCATTGAGCGCGTGATGACCACCAAGGTGGCCAACCCGTGCGTTGAAATCCCCAGAAAGGATAACGACATCCGACTTTTTAGCGTTAGTCAAGAGCTGTTGTAGATCCCGGTAGAATTCGTCCTTGACCGAGTCGCCACCGCAGTCATTGGGAGTGTACACGGAGATCACAAACAAGTTGCGTCTCTGTTCGCGATGCTTGTTGATTCTACATGAACCCCAAAGCCGACCTGCACATAGTCGGCTGTTAATCGGGAACCAGTCCAGTAGTGCCGCCTCGGCCTTGCCACTTAGTGCTCTACCTATACCAGCCAAACCCGCTGAGGGTGCTTCTGGATCTCCAAAAAGACGCAGGTGATATCTGGCTTTATGGTCAGTGGGAGATGTCATTGTAAGCACAGTGCTGGGACCTTGCAACCGGGTTTCTGAAAGGCAGCAGACATCAATGTCTATGGTCTCTAGGGTGCGCGCTATACCTGTTGGTTGTCCAATCTGCGTGAGTGTCCGAACGTTGAAGCACGCCAGACAGACGAAGATCGGGGACGGAGGTGAGCTATAGGTTGAAATCCTTGGTCCGCCGCGCAACCGGAATTGCAGCCAGATTGTTGAACACGTGAATCATGTAAGGGAAAGTGAGGGTTGCTAGCAAACAAACAATTGGTGTGTGATGAATTCGCATGGATGTGAGAAGCAGAAACAGTAGCTCATGAGCACGTTGTAGTACAGTCCTTGGTTTTTTGTGAGGGCGTGATACTACCCGGTTGCCCAAACCGAAGTAGGGAGTTGACTTAGGGGACTCCACCTCGAGCCTTTGGCTAAATAACCTACTCGCAAGGCGGCGGGGCGAATTTAGGGAATCGCGCCCATTGGGAGGCGATGACTGAATGTTCAGTTCATGCGTCTTTGTTTGGTAGGTTACCAAACAGGGGCCAAATACTCCCCATGAAATGAGCACAATTGCTGGAATACAATGCGCCACCGAGGTGGAACATTGTCGCCGAACACTTTGCTGGAACGGGGTACACCCGAACCACCCAGCTGGCACCACGAGGAGGTAGTTCGGCAAGCCAGCCGGTCAAGCTGGTGTAGGTATCATTCTAAGCTCCAAAGCTGAGCCATCGTTGGTTGCTTGGATTCCGGTGAACAGCCGTTTGTGTGCAGCCCGTTTGACGACATCAGCTAAGGCTGACTCACGAAGTAGTACCAAACGCTTTTTTTGGAATTTCCGCTTATGCCCCCACCGACTGCACTTCAAATGCTGTCAAGGACACTTTCTATCACGAACTGGACGCGCTATTACGCAGTGCTATTAGTTCAGATCTTAAAGTACTTGCAGGGGCTATGAACGCACAAGTAGGGCGTCTGAGCTCTTCAGAAGCTTAGCTGGGTGGTAATTATGGGCTTAACTCCGAGCAGACTGACAACGGTGAGCGTCTGCTGCAACTGTGTGCGGAGCACCAGTTGTTTCTTAGTGGGACTGCTTTTAGACACAGTGGGCGCCGAAATGCCACTTGGCGTTCTCCTGTAGCTGATCAGCGATGGACCCCAATTGAGACAAGGATGCCCGCTGTCACCTTTCCTCTCCAACTTCGATATTGACGAAGTCATGGAAATCGTGTTCACAGGACACGACTTTGAAGGTGTGGATTTGCTCCCAGGAGAACGACTTCTTGGAGTATGCAGACGACATTGCCCTAATCTGTGACAGCTCACAAACGTGTCAAGCGGCACTGGACAGATTAGCACTAGCTGTCCGTCACTTCGGGCTTTGTTTCGCACCCTCGAAGTGCAAAGTGTTCCTCTAAGATTGGTCTGGACCGCATCCTACGCTGACCATTGGTGGGGATCAGCTAGCAGTTGTTCAAAAATTCAACTACCTGGGAAATTGTATCAACGCCCGTGGGATTGTGGATGAGATCACGAACCGTATAGCAAAAGCTCGGGGCGCTTTAGCTAACCTTCGCCACCTATGGCGCCGGCGCGACATCACTCTTGCCCTGAAGGGTAGAGTGTATAATGCAGCGATACGTTCGACCCTAATGTACGGTTGTGAAACCTGGCCGCTTAAATCAGCGGACCTGAAGAGGCTAGTTATGTTCGACCACCGGTGCCTTCGTAATTTAGCTCACATCTGATGTGAACACCGCCTGAGCAACGAGTGTTTTCGACGCCTTGTTTACGGCACAGGAAAAGGAACTGAATCGCTCAGCACCGTTATTTCACACACCAGGCTCCGATGGCTCGGCCACGTGTTGCGCATGCCAGCCCACCGACTCTCGCGACGTGCGTTGTTTGCGCTCCGGGGGTGTGGATGGAAGAAGAGGAGAGGTGGCCAAGCGATGACTTGGTCGAGAGGAATGAAGGCCTTCACTACAAAGATGGCCTCGGTTGGAGCGTCTCGGCTCCTTGGTTGGGGTCCGAAAGACGATGAACCACGTTTGGGTGGACACACTTGCTGATATGGCTAGGAGCCGACCACAGTGGCGTTCGTGCTGTGAGTTTCTTTGTCCCACCCCATTCCTCTTAGCCTCCCCCTCCAACCACGATCTCACTGTTTAACTTTATATAATTTCGCATAGTATTTTTTTGATACACAGTAGCCGGCTGGTAGCTTACCGGAACGATGCCCATCCGTTACCGGTAGCTCAGCCGGCTTAAACCAGTTGCATTTTTTCTCCTTTTTTCTGTGTATTACGGCACAGTAGCTGAGGTGATCTCCACCTCTAGCTAACGTGTATGATGATGATGGTGATGATGATGATATTCATTGTCCTTCGGACCCCAACCAGCGAGCCGAGCGGCTCCAACCGTGGCCAACTTCGAAGTAAGGGCCTTCGTTCCTCTTGACCAAGTGAGCAACCACTACTCACAATGAACTGACGTATCGAGACGTGCCTGTTGTCGTGGTTAGCCATCCAGCTTGTATCCTGCGACAGAACCACACAACTCCTACCTGTTAACCCGTGTCTTCCATATAGTCAACCATTTACTTAGTTTTACGATTCGATTTGTTTTTGACTCTTGCGTCCCATGTCAGAGGCTTTGTTACTCTGGGATTGTGTTGCTCGGTTTGAACCCATGTGAATCCCCTAAACCCCATCGTTTGGCTCCCGACATGACTCGTAGAATCGGACCAGTAAGGCTTCACTTTCTTTCGCAGTCAATTTGCTCTCGAACATTGAGTAGACGAAGGATGTGCTGTGGATCATTCTAACTAATTGCGCGACGCTGTGGATCACATCACTTACCTTTGATGTCTTCATTTAACCTTCCCACGCGATCATTTAATGGAGTTCTTCGACACATCCGCCATGCGCATTTCTCCGATGTCTATCGGAAGGGCGACTTGAGAGCAAATCTCATCATCAACAACAGCAGCACATCAACCATTTGAACTGATGCTTCGCTGCCCTACAACCACGGTCATTTACAGGTCAAAAAATACTAACAGAGACAGAAATTGAACGTAGAGGTAACTCAGTTGCCAGTCGAGACAGGCACTTGGTATACTTCCCTGTGAGGTTCATGGAAGAACGGCAGCGTGACAATGCATGATCAGAGCCGACGCGGGAATTCCAGCACAAGAAACAATCCAATATGGAGCCACGCCGTCTGTAACTTATGCCAACGTGATATATTCCGGTCATTGGTTAGTCAGCTATTGGAGGACGCTCTATAGGACTTCGGCGCCCATTGTCTAAAAGCGGTGCCACTAAGAAACAGCCGGTGCTCCGCACACAGCTGTAACGGACGCTCGCGGTTGTCCCTACGGTTGGAGTCAAGTTCATACTTGCCACCTAGCAGATTTTCTGAAGAGCTCATATGAACTAACTGCGTATTCATATCCCCCTGCAAAAGCAGCTGGAAATACTGCGAAACAGCGTGTTCAGTTCGTGGTTCAAAGTGTCCTTGGCAGCATCAGAGCTACATATAGTACTACCCCATCGCAATGGGGCTGGACCTTACCGTGGTGCGATGGTTTGTGTGCCTCAGCGATCCATTGAGCTATGCTGGGTGGTGCTTTTGCACCTTCAGAGGCAGCCATACCAGATTGGTCAATGGTTAGAGGCCAGACAAACTCAGCCTCCTGGTCCTCCAGGTTGGGGGTTGGAATGAGGGTGGCACCGTATTCCTTAAAACGAACTCCTTGTAGCCCAATGCCAAGCCCGCTGCCTTGCGGTAAGGTTTTTGAACCAAAGGCTTTGGTTGAGAACCCTAATCGTTCTCTTGTCTAGGCCTGGGCAACCTGACAGTATCCTGCCCACGCAATACAATAAATCATTCGTCAAAAAATTTCTTGATGCTCTGGCCACCGCAGAGGATAATCAACGGTGCCCTAACTGCTGCATCGAGCAGGGTGGATAAGGGTTTGGATGCTACTGCTCAAGCCTTCCCGTCTTCTTATTCCCCCTCTTACGCTTTTTCACTCTTACCGTTCACTTCCAACTTCATTTTTATCCCCCCAGTTTTCAACCCCTGATTCTTGGCTCTCCCCCCCCAACATGCTTTGCTAGGCATTTGTCTTCTAATTTCAACTCACATGCGAACGCGGAGTGTCACTCCTCTCCTGTCGACAAGCCCATGTCCAATCAAGCGGTCCATTCCAGTTCATCGGCTTCCATTTGGAGCTCTCGATCCTCCTTCGGATTGGCATGCCCCAGTGTACGCACATTACTACAGACCGGTCAACAGGCAGCACTTGCCCGAACATTGGAGACCCTCTCAATCGATATCTGCTGTTTATCAGAGACCTGCCTGCAAGACTCGAGCTCTGTACTCACTCTGCGATCCCCTTCAGGTGACGCAAGCAGTATTTTCTCATTGCGCCTATCCGGTAACGATGCAGCTTCGAGCACCCGGCCAAGCTGGTGTTGGCATTGCCCTGAGTCCCCGGGCTGAAGCTGTTCTGGTTGATTGGATTCCAATCAGTAGCCGGATGTGTGCGGTCCGATTGGCTGTTCGTTCAAAACTTCGAAGTCGCGCGGGACTAACAGGTGTCTATTCGTTATCGCTGCCTATGCACCCACAAACTGTAGCGATGATTCGGTAAAGAACGACTCTTACCGCCAACTGATCCAGCTCCTTCGCCACAGTAGAAGCACGGACACGTGTGCTGGCGGGGGATCTGAACGCACAAGTTGGAAAGTTGTCGACTGATGAAATGCATCTGGGCGGTCAGCACGGTGTAGGCTCTGGTAATGATAACGGTGAGCGGTTACTTCATTTGTGTGAAGATGCCCGCTTATTTCTTGCGAGCACTAACTTCCGACATAGCACCCGTCGGAGGGTGACTTGGCGCCCACCAGCCTTGGATGCAGATTGATCACATTGCTATCAGTTACCGCTGGAGAGACTGCATCCAGAACTGTCGCTCGATTTGGAGCACATGT